TGTGTGTGTATATGAGTATGTGTGCATGTGTATCTGTGTGTGTGTATATGAGTATGTGTGCATGTGTATCTGTGTGTATCTGAGTATGTGTGCATGTGTATCTGAGTATGTGTACATGTGTATCTGTGTGTGTGTATCTGAGTATGTGTGCATGTGTATCTGTGTGTGTGTGTGTACACGCACGTGCATGTGGTTGTTGTTGCTATCACTCTTTTCAGGAAGGGAAAGAAAGAACTACCCTGGCCTGAGCCGAGTCTCCAACGTACCAGGCATGCCTTGACCTCAAGTGCACACGCAAAGCAGCGGGGATTCATGTTTCATTCAACAGATGCTTATCACATATCGACTCTGTGCAAGGAACTGTGCTCGGGAGTGGGCAGGATGGATGAACGCGACCAGATCTTCTCTCCAGGGGGTATGGTTGGTGGAGGGAGGTGATAATTTGGCAGGAAAGAAGAAAGTAAAGTGGGGGTGGAGCTGGCAAGGCAGGGAGCAACAGCTTCTCCTAGGCAGAGCGATCAACTTGGCTTCAAAGGCCTATGCACACTCCTCGGCCTCAGAAGTCAGGCCACTGGGCTTGCCTTGGCAGCCATCTCTACGAGATGGTATAGCCTTGGCCCAGGCGCCTAGGAGAGAGCGAGGGGAGAGCCTGTTTCCTCTGCCAGGACAATATCAGGTTTGTCTTCGTGGTCAGGCTTGGTGTGGGTTGTTGTCAGCTTCAGGGAGCAAGGGCAGACTAGAGAGAATTACAGAAGGAAAAGGAGGAGGCAGATTATTTCCTCCTCCCCCTCCCCCTTTGCAGTGTGTGAGAGGAATCCCAGAATGTTATGTTGTTCTACATCTGTACTCCACCACTGACCTACATCCCTGGGCCAGAGGCAAATTTCCTGAGACATTAGAAAGACCTTCCAAGTGGAGACCCTTGACGCGAGCCAGGTGTGGTGGCACACATCAGTAAACCTAGCACTTGGGAAGCAGAGGCAGGAAGTCACAGCAAGTTTTGAGGGCAGGCTTGTCTATACACTGAGTTTTCAGGCCCCTAGGGTTACATAGTGAGATCCTGTTTCCTCACCCCTTCCATCCCCCCCAAAAGACTTGATAATAAAACGAGTATATGAACTCTTTTGAAACCTCGGAGAATAAGGAAATAGAGATCTTGGGAGATGATAAGAATTCTGTCAGATGAAGCAACTTTGATGGGTCTAGAATTTGGGGCTTTGGATAGGATGGGAATGAACCAGGACCTTCCACCCCTAAAACACACACAAAGCACAGGTCTTAGATGTTCAGTTACAGAGAAAAAAAAAAAAAAAAAAAAAAAAAAAAAAGGTGGCAGGGTTGCAATACCAGAAGTCTCCGGAAGAGGGCGCACAGGGCAGAGACACTCCTGGAGAGAAATCTAGGAAGGTTTTTCTCAGCCTGTTGGGGCAACTGTTTCTTTTAACATTGGGTTTGAGTCTTTTGGCAACTTCATTCCGTAAGTAAGAAACTCACAGTTAAGTCAAGGCAAAAAACTCCCAAAAAATAAAAAAAAAATAAAAAATAAAAAAAATTCAAAAACTCAAACAGGAGAATTTTGGTTAAACAGAAAGTCACAAATCCCTCTTCTTTTGTTCCCAATCCCATAGTGGAAACAGGGTCAGTTAAGAGAAATACCCCTCGATAATGTCTGCTGCAGGGCGAGGAAGGATAGCTCCGAGTGCTCTGCTTCTAGAATCAACCATCCACAAGGCGGAGACATTTTTTTTAGTTCTCAACCTGCCAGGCTGGGCAGCAGGGAGACTTGATGGCTCTGACTCCTCCCCTTCTCTGGAGTCAACCATAAGCCCCTAAGCCACTGCCCACTGCCCTCTAAGGATTTCCTCTGCGAGAGAACTGGAGGTCTTTTCAAAAGAGGCTTAAATTACTCTCAGCTCGAAAAAGCACAGAAGCTTCTGGAAACTTGACCCTCCGGAGCTCAGCTGTCTTGAGACCCCCTCCCCTGCTTATCGCAGGAGACTTGCTGTACTCTTAATCCCTCCACCCACACACGCACCCCCATCCTGCTTGATCCTCCTTGAAAGGGCATAGACCCCATCCTGGAGAGGAATGTGGGGATCCAACTCATCGTGTCAGGGTCTGGAGGGTGGGGGTCCTTCAGCAGTAGCTGGAGTCTTGGACCTTTGGGGAAACCTGTCCTATGCAGTTTCTTTGGCAGCAGAAACAGGACCCAGTTCACGGCTCAGGGCTCCAGGGCTCCACGGTTTTATTCAGCGTTTCTGTGGGGGTTGCTGGCCCTGTCCAGAGGCCCTCTCATTTCTGTCACCAGACACCACACCAGGGCATTCAAGGGACTGCAGCCAAGGCGGTAATTGGAGGGCTCTGAGGAACAGTTACCCTGGAGAATTCCTTGCTCTGTAGGCTCTGCTTGAGAATTTTCTCTTTAACGCCGAAACCTTTACTATGAGGTCACTACAGGGTGGGGGAATCCCACGCGGCATTCAACTTCACAAGGTATCCAGCAGGAGGCGATTTGTGTCATTGATGATGTCACCAAAAGGAGCCAAAAGTGCCATTTTGCAGGCCCAGGAGTCAAGTGAGGTAGTGGGGGACCAGAGCCACAAAGGCGGGTACAGAAGTGTCTCCACTTTGGGACACGGGAATGTGCAGCTTAGGGATGCCCCAGAATCAGCGCCACGATGCCCTCAGACCGGAGCACAAACTCCAGAGTGTTGACAAACACAAGCTTAGGAAAAAAAAATTGCCAAGCTCGTTAGAAGGAGCTCATTAGGACTTGTTGACATGAAACCCATTAGACCAATTAACATTCCATTAACGGCCCGGGGCACCAAGGGGTTAATGCTGCTGGGCAGTAATTGGGCAGGGGTGTAGGGGTTGGGGGCTCAAGGCCTTAAGGATGAGAAACAAAGTCTAATTGGGAACTGTCTGGCCAGCTGGCCTGACAGCATTTGTTCCTGGCCCCTGACCCTAGCGGGGACTAAATTGTATCCTTGCATCCGGTGCTGAGGTAGGAGAAGAAGGAAAGACCAGATTTGCTCTGGCCCCTCCCTGTCATGCTCCCCTGCTTCAGCCCGGAGACAGGGCAGGTGGCTGGCATAAGAACGAGGGGGAGGGGCACTTCCATCCTCTGACCCTGATGGTTCTGCTTTCATCGTGAGGTCCCCTTCTCCTCCCGCTCTGGTCTTGTTTTATTCACCTTATTTTATATTTTGTTTTTGGAATAAGGGTCTCCCTTAGGTAGCCCAGGCTAGCCTGGGACTCACCATCCTTCTGTCTGGAGTGTTGGAGTGGTCCTGGGGATTCTGCCCACCCTCCAATAAGCAGATAAGAGAGCTCTCAGACCGCCCTCTAGGAACCCTGCTTTCTCCCCCCTCCCTCCCTCCCTCCCTCCCTCCCTCCCTCCCTCTCTCCCTCCCTCCCTTCTCTCTACCCTCCCATCCTCCCTCCCTCCCTCTCTTTGTCTTTCCATGGGTTTCCTTGCTCAGTACAAGCAGAACCTATGAAGGTCTCACTCCAAGACTGAGTCTCAGTTTTCCAGTCTGCAAAATCAGTTGACTACGATTTAGAAGGTCATTCTTAAATCCCAGGCTCTGGTCTGTGTTTAGGGTCCACAAATCTACATTCCACAACCCATAGGCTTTCTTGTACAAGTGCTTTCCCTTTTGGATTGTAGAATAAAAGAAGCCCCCAGCATCTGCAGAATCCTGGACCACGATTAGCCCCTCCCCCATATATATATATATATATATATATATACACACACACACATATATATGTATATATATACTGATTTGAATAGCAATAATTGCATTGTAGCTTCATTCCAAGTGTCAGTTCCCCATTTCTCTTCCTCCCCCAGTTCACTTGTAAGGGAAGGTGGAGGAGGGTCCTGAGGTCTGCAAAACCGGACCCCTCCCACATCCTAACCCATAGACGCCTAGGTTATTTCTCCACCTGCATCCCCAAAGTCTTCCCCTCTCTGTACAGCTGCCCAGACCAGCGGTTCTGACGTCTAGACAGATTTGCAGGAGGCTGGAATAACACTGTGGACTCAGTAGGAGGGGCCGACAGGCTGCATTAGTAACCTGGCTGGCTTTAACTTCTCCCTCAGGGGCAGCCAGCTCAACCATTCTATTCCTTCAGCAACAAGGTTTGTCCCCTGAAACAGACTCCAGTCCAGTTCCCTTCCCAGAAGCCACCTGTAGGCGGCGTTGTAGGGCCCCCTCTTTATTGCATTATATAATATAACCTGTTTACTAAATCAAGTAATCAGTCTCCTCAGGATTTACAGTTTTGGATGTGTATAGAGAATTGGACTTTGAGTCAAATTTAAAAACAAATAAAAATGAGAGGCAGCTGTTGCTGATAGTGTGATATTCATCTTTTGGAAACAAATTCACCCCAGTGCTATAAATTATGCCTGGAAAAAAAAGTGTTGTTGGTGGGAAGGAATTGGCTAGGTCTCCTCTGCTGGCAACTCAGAGCGATGAATCTTGAAATAACGGTGTCAACCTGTCACTGATTTCATGTGACTCTGTGGATTTATCTAAAGAAACGCAGGCGTCTAGATGAGTGCGCGCGTGCACGCGCACACACACATACACACACACACACACTCTCACACACACACTACTCTCCCTAGGTCTCTTTAAAACTCAGTAAAGGCTAGAAACCACAGGCTGGAAGCTGAGTGTCCACAGGAACGCTGTGGTCCCCGGGATGGATGTCTGAAGTTAGTACAGAGAACGGGCCAGTGGGGGGATGAAGGAGGATGGAGTGTAAGCAATGGTTACAAAGTTCTAACATGTGAGCAGGGACTTTACATCTGAGCAGTTTTCCTGATTGAAATGTTTTCAAAGGAGGGAGACATGCAGGGTCTTTATGATGGGAGCTGGAGAATCCTTGGAAAAGACAGGTGCCCCAGGACCTGGACCCGTGAGTTATCACAGCGCATCAAACACATCCAACCCTGCAGAATCCACTGTACAAGATGACTCATGAGAGCACTGCTAAGGCTGGGAGGAAGACTCCGGACCTGAAGTCTGGAGACATGAAAGCCAGAGACTAGCAGATACCACTTCCTGATCCCTCTGATTTCAGGATGTTGGGGCAAGCGGCAGTCCTTTGTTTAGTCAGGTCAAGCCCAGGGTGGCTCTTGGAAGCCAGGCACAGGATCTGTGGTCAAATCACAAAGAGAAAGATGTTGGGCTACGGTTTGCTCTCAGGTCTGGTCCTTTTGTGCCTCTGTGTCCCAAGGCTGGTTTGCTCTACAGTTACCCTAATCCCAGGACACACACTGGAACTGGCCCAGAGCCCAGGTTCTTGCCAAATGACACAGCCAGAAGGCCCACTTCTCTAATGACCCTCTGGCTCCTGCTTGGGACATTTAAAGAGGATCTACAGACTTGAGTAGGAAGCAGTGATAACAGCAAGACCCACCGAGCCCTCTGGCCACCTACAGCTCATCATGCTAAAATTCCTTTGCTACCTTTCTAGGGTTTCCTGCAGGAAGGTGGTGCCAGGTCATGCCCTAGTATCATGATGCTGGTCTCCAGGGAACAGAGTGGGGACGCAGTAGATTCCTTAAGAGATGCGAAAATCCCTTTCCCTCTCTCCTCCATCAACCCTCATGGAGCAAATAGTAACGCAGACCTCCTTTTGGCTCCTCACCCCGAGGAGCAGTCCTACTTCCAAGGCCCTTCACAGGTCAGCTTTCTCCACCCCACAGCCCACTTTGTTGCTCGCCGTTATCTGGGATAACAGTATGTCACCATGTAAATGGACCAATGAGTCTTTTCTGAGCAGCCCTTTACGATCCAGCCTAGAGATGAGCACCAGTTTGCTCTAGAAACCAGTTCTGGAGCGTTAATTTTCCACTCCATATCCCTTGGTTCCGGAAGGCAAATAATTCGATTAATCATGGTTTTGGGTTCGGCCCCAGTCTTTGCTGGGAGCACTGAGAATTACTGAGAACCATAGGCCCTCATCACCGCCCTCAGCACCTCCTCACTCTTCAGTGAACAAAACTCTATTTCCTTGGACTCCAGTCTGGCCAGGTTTCCCATTGAGAGGCCTACTGTCTTGCTCTGTCACTAGAGGGGACATGGTGGTAACTCACAGAGGCCTCATCTTACCAGGGCTCAGAGTTCACTGGCTCCCAGCTCCCTCCAACTGTTCCTCCAGTTCAGTCATTCTTCAGTTTGGTGTGAAAACACAGACCAGGGGCCAGAGCCCCCTTCCCCAGCTCAGCGGAGTGGTGGAGCCTCTGTCTCCTGCCTCCCTGCCTAGCTGTCACACCTTCACTGGCTTCAAAAAGCCGCTGATATATTTTACAAACTGAAACAGCAATTTAATTCCCCCTGATAGCAGCAATTGTCCATTAGATCCTCCTACCGAGGAGCTTAACAATAATTCCTTTCATCCAACTGCTTGCCTCTTCTTGATCTGAGAATCAATCCCATAAATAGCAGGCAAGAGTTTGCACATTACTCTCCCCCTCCAGCTTTTAGCATTTTGATGAAGAATCTCATCTCTTCTTTAAGCACTTTACAACTTGGCAATTTCTCTCCCTTTGGTTCCTTTAAACAAAATAAAATGACAACACAAAACCAGAAAGGGGTGGTTGGGGTGGGGCTGGGGGAGCACGTCTGTTTTAAAGAGGCAGCAACATGGTGCTCTCAGCACTGTCGGGGGAGCGAGGTTTGTTCTCCCTGCTTCTGGGAAGCAGAAGGTGGTTCCTGTACTTCTGATGGGTTAGGCTGCTGAAAAGAGGTGTTGCTCTGCCCCTGTGGGGTGTCGTTAGCCTCTCAAACTTTACACTCCCTGAAGCTAGGTCTTGTTTTTGTCAACAGTATTCAACTTACAGAAATTTCCTCTTCCCAAACACTCTTCTATTGTACTCAGAAATGGAAGCAAGGGGAAGCCCAGCTGCTGGCCTGGGGTGAGGGCCTCAGATCCCTGCCCACCCTAAAGGCAACCCTCTCACCTAAAGATAGAATTATGAACTTTGTGGTTTGTTTTAAAACAGGTCTATGCTGAAGGCTCCCTGGAAACTATTGAGGATCATAGTGTCTCATCACGGCCCTCCTCGGCATCTCCCCTCTTCAGAATGAGGGCTTCTATCTTGAGAATGTCCTGTCCCAGCCCTTCAGGTGCTGGGATCATAGTCATGCCCTATCACGCCTCGTCACCCTCCTCCCTTTTTTATCTCCAGCCTTCTGTGAGTGAGTCTACCCAAACATGGGTGGGAGAAAGAGAGGAACATGAAAAGGAGAGGGCTTGAGGCTTTGGATGCAACCATGTGTCTTCTCCTTTGAAACTCCAGTGACTAGTGACATAGGAGAGCCCTTCAGCTCTTCCACGGGGTGTTGGCGACAGTAGATGGCCAGGGCATCGGGGAGACCCAAGCCTGGCCCCCCGAGATCCCACCACGTGTTCTCTCTTGTCTGCACACATGGAGAGAAACAAGTCTAAAGATGAACCCAGGGACTCAGAAGACAAAGTCCCCCCTGACACGCTCGATTCCCAGGTTTATTATTATTTGTGGAGAGCTGACAGCAGCTTTGGGAGCGGAGCCGAGAAAACAACACAGGCAGGCCTGGCCCCTGAGGCTCCCAACGCAACCGAGACAAACAGCTCAGAGG